ATATATATATATATATATATATATATATGGTGCGATGAATTGTCTAAATGGCTCAAAAATGAAAAAATGCTGATATCTTATTTTAACCGATATATTTGCAAAAATGACACAAATTATATTAAATTACTAAACAGTAAATTTATTCAAAAAATCGCTATTGGCTTCAACCACAGTCTCCAGACAACTTCGGAAACTCCTGCAACTCTTCTGGACGGTTTCCTTGTTTAACTTGGTGAACCTTGCCATAATCTTTCAATTCATCTTTGGTTTTACAAGTAATTTTGTTGCTCTCTCTCGCTCAGATGTGGCCAACGCATAATAATGAAGGGAGTTGCAGTTTGCATGACAGATGGCCCAGTGGATAATGTCGTTGGTTAGATCCAGTGACTGGACCCAAAGAGTGTGAGTTCAATACTCGGTTAAGGCAGTGGCGAACTTTCAGAGGGAAATTAACAGAAGATAACTGATAACTGACATTCATTAAACATGGCATGTGGAACTAGAACAGTGATCGAAAGAAAGGGTTCGGTTCGACATTCCAACCACCTGAAAAAGGCTGGAGCGCACAACGGCCGAAACGTTGTAATAAATATGGCGCCAAAGATGAGAACAATAGTCCGAATAATGTAATGTAAATAATATTTACTGGTGAGTTGTTTTAGTTTTATTAAGCTTTCCTTAATACTAGCTATATATACAGTACTGAAGACGAATCGATTACAATTGACCTTGATAGATAGGCCCCGTTTTCGGAGATAGACCACAAAGATGACATTAGTGAGATTGGCAAATAATGTTTGGTAGTGATGGACTATCTAAAAGTTTAAGACTAATTTCACTAAAATAACTGTTGTATGCAGCATAAGTCCATGAAACATTTAAAAGATTATTTATTGCATTCACTTTCTATGTTTAGTCAATCAAAGAAATTATTGTTGAGCTAAATGCACAAAAAAACTAAGGAGACAAAATCTACTTGAAGAACTGTTTCAGAATATAAAAAAAAATGTCATAGATTATAAAACTCAGAAATGAAATTATTTTCGTTCATGAACCGATTCCAAAAAAAATAATTTTCATATTCACATATATTAACCAATCAGCGACGTCATATGAGAGGCACGGCATTCTTCGCATTTGATGGTTTTATTGTAAGCTACGAAATCTTGGAGGATAAACAATATTTTCCCTCCTTTAAATGGATATTTAAAAATTGGGAAAAAATTTAGTAACCAATAAACTTGAGATTAATAAATATAAATTTTGTTTTCTTCTGTTTCATTAAAACAGTAATCAGTTTTTAGTTCGCTAGTTAGTTCGTTCGTTTGTTATGCAAAACTGGAATTCTTGGCACTTAACTAATTATTCACATTTCAGAGAATATTATATTATAAAAATGCTTAGCGATATTGACACATAAATAAACACACAGACTATGTTTACGAACGTCAACAGTAGCAAGCTACTTTCCCTACTTATTCATTACTGCTGGCTGATACAATTCTCACATATTGACGCATTCTGTTTCCTCTATACTAACGCAAATGATTAAGTTGTTCTGTAAAAAAGATAAACAACATAATTTGTATAAAGTTGTTTCGCAAAGAATCTTTGTAATACTTTTCTTTCAATTTGAAAGAAAAATAATGTTCAAATAATAAAAAAATATTTGGGTAGATCCGTTTGAAAATTCGCTTATTTCTTAGTTTTATTCATGCATTTATTTATTTATTTTTTTTTGACAAGAAACAGAAAATAGAGTTTGTATCCGTTATCCGAACAATCTTAATCATAATAAAATGAACATTTAACAGAGTTCAAGTGCGTTATTCAACACTAAATTCCTTACACGCATAAACGTTAACACATGCACGAAATAATCCAGCCGTAATAACGAATTCGAAATAACAAATCCCCGGGTCTTTTGACGCTTACACTGTTACTTACTGAGGGGAGGGGAATGATGAAGCTATAGTAAAACATAACATAAATGAAACACCTGCGGAGCATAAAATCTCCAGCTAAGAAATGATGAATCAAAACGAACACATTGACGCAGTAGTTCGCCAACCGCCATCGTGAATAGAAAATCATCCCCCAAACATTGTAAGATTGCTCTGCTTTTTTACCCATAGCTGGGGGGAGCGAAGACGTGATCGATTTATTTTTCGCAATATCTGAAAGAATGTCTGTAATGTAATTGATCCTGACCTGGCATCTCGACCTCAGTAACTTTCTCACCGACGTGACATGGCTTCCCTCTCTCTTTTCTACAAAAGACGCTGAAAGTGAAATAAGATAGAAGAAACTGTTAGCATAGAACTTACGGTTACATGTAGCCATTTCAACTTTAAATCATGAGACCTTGCTAACAATCTTGTACTGCGCTTAAAGTCATAAAATCTAGAAGGCATAAAAGAAAATTCATCAGAACAACTGCTAGGAAAGTATTTACAGAAAAGACACAGCTAATCTACATTACAGGGCCGGGAAAATGGATGAAGCCGAGAGGCCACAACATGACCAATAATATTACCGATTCTTTGGATATATCTAGAATCTTTAAAGATATATAACTGGAGCACCAGATCAGATGTAGCAGCAATATTCAAAGGAATGGTACACTTATAAATATATAAAATAACAGGAGGTTTTTTCTTTGATGCTCGAAAGAATGATTTGGAGCATGCTACTATATTGGCAACTAGGTCCCTCCCGTTTTACTGTTGAACTAGTTAGATGCAACCGTCGCTTCTACTTTAACATTTTCTTTACTGGCACTTCTCAATTATATTCCGATTTCTGGCTACCGTGATAATTTTTTTTTTGAAATGCAACGTCAATCACCATATTCCGCTTTCTTGAACCTTGTTCCTTTTGGTCAGTTCATCAATTCTCCCCAATCTCAATTTTCTTTCACTTACACCCCCTATATCTCGCTGCGTTTTAAGGATTTCATCACCTTACTTGTGTTGAAACCATTTAAAAAGAAAACATCCCTAAGTGTATTAGTACGAATGAGGATATCAGCTGGGATTCGAACGTCTAGCTAAGTTCTCTTTTCATACTACTAATGATTACACCAACCGCACATTTTACAGTAACTAATTTAGTAACCGATAACTAAATTTCATTTTAAATAGGTGCCTTTCATTCAACACAACCACGCAACAGACCCCGACCTTTTGCCGAATATCGCTTGATTTTCGATCAGGTTCTTATATTTAAAGAACAGAAACATTTGTGAACGGGCGTATTCCACAACACCATGAAATTCCTTTTGTCGCATAGTCTATGCCACATTTCTCATAGCATCGAATAACTCATTTTCAGCTGACAGGTAGTAGAACGCGTGTATTGAATCAATGGCTAAACCTGCAGCTAAGGAATTAGGTTCTTACTAGACAATTTTCTCGACATAATATATATTACATATTTATGATCTACAATTCTTTTGAATATTGCAGCTGCATCTGATCTGGTGCTCCAATTATATATATATATATATATATATATATATATATATATATAGTTTATGAAAAACTAGGTAATACGTATGGGTAAACCCAAGGAGGATAAAATTCAGAGAGCTCAATCTAAATCCAGAGCAAATAATTTATATATATATATATATATATATATATATATATATATTGGTGTATACGCAATGTAAACAAAATGGCTATTTTTGTAGTGATTTTATAACATATTTATCTCATCATTTTTTAATATATTATATATATATATATATATATATATATATATATATATATATATATATATATATCTTTAAAGATTCTTGATATATCCAAAGAAGAATCGGCAATATTATTGGTCTTGTCTTGGCCTCTCAGATTCAACCACTTTCCCAGTGCCTTAATGTAGATTATCTGTGCCTTTAATATAAACACTTTCATGGCAATTGTTCTGCAGAACTTTGGTACCTAGACTTTATGAATTTAAGCGCAATACTAGATTGGTGGCACGCTTTCTTGTTTTTACAGTTGAAATAGCTGGATGTAACTGTATGCTAATAATTTCTTCTATTGTATTTCTCTTTTTGCTTCTCAGTCAACATTAATCTTCAACAATTTAAATGTAGTGTCAATCGTTATCTTCTTTCTTCTTTTTCTTCTTGTATTGCCCTGGCTTCTTATTATTAGTTTTTCTTATATTCTCTCACACACCCTTGCATTCGAGTGTCTTTATTGCTTTACTTGGTGTGAAATGATTAAAAGGAAAAATTGTGTGAATTTTTGTTGGTGGCATCACTATATTATCACAAACACATTTGTCCTACAAAAAAAATAATTTTGCAACCAAAACGCGAACAATGCAAACTTCGATGATCCTTTATATTATTTTAATACAAAAAAAAATGATAGATGGGACCTTTCTAATCATCACAGCGCTCGAATTATAGCGAAATTACCCGCCTTGCTGAACAAAGATTTTCGCCGACCTGGAGGGCATTTCACACGAGCAATCAGGAGATTGATAACTCATGATTATTGAAAGATTTCAACTTGGGTACCCAAGGTTATGAAGATCAATTATTCCGTTTCGTCAATCCCAACTGGCTGATCCAATCATCTCGAATGGCCTATTCATTAAGTCATGAGTAATGCCTTCCGCGAGAAAGGACGGATTTCACCCATAGCTCGAGAGATCTCACAGTGTCCAACAACACACGTCACACAGCCAGCACACACCTCAAGGCATGCGACAAGAACTTATTTTCTTTTACGGTTTTTCTGATATTTGAGGGAGTTTTAATAATGATGTCTAGTTGACAGATTGGATTAGACAGAGCGGATGAAGTTTGACTTACCGTTCATTTTCTTATTTGAAGAAGTTGAGCCAATTTATTTGAAAATTAACCCATTCGAAATCAAGGACATTAAAAATGGATCTGCAAATTCATGAAATGATTCCTTGCATATATAAAAAGTATTTGAAACATTTGAAATTCGTCTCAATTTTTGAGAGTATGTTTGTCTTCATCGATGATTGTATTGCTGACTGCATTTATCTGGGAAATAGATAGATAGATAGATAGATAGATAGATATGAATGAACTGAGATAGATAGATAGATAGATAGATAGATAGATAGATAGATAGATATGAATGAACTGAGATAGATAGATAGATAGATAGATAGATATGAATGAACTGAGATAGATAGATAGATAGATAGATAGATATGAATGAACTGAGATAGATAGATAGATAGATAGATAGATATGAATGAACTGAGATAGATAGATAGATAGATAGATATGAATAAACTGAAATAGATAGATAGATAGATAGATATGAATGAACTGAGATAGATAGATAGATAGATATGATTAAACTGAGATGATTGATAGATAGATACATACATATAAATAAACTGATAGATAGATAGATATGAATGAACTGAGATAGATAGATAGATAGATAGATAGATAGATTAATAGATATGATTAAACTGAGATGATTGATAGATAGATAGATACATATAAATAAACTGAGATAGATAGATAGATAGATAGATAGATAGGCTAAAATTTTCCACCCTCTGTATTTAATAATTTTCTAAGTTTTGTACCTTTTTTCATTAACTTCTGCCAAGTTAGGATACTGAAAGTACTTAACCCTGAGATCATGGCTTTCAAGTTTTTAGAGAAGGGCTCACCTAAAATTTAAAATCCTCAGTCCTCAGATTATCATTAGCCAGCAAGGTTGATTAGGACAAAATAGCTCAAATTTTATGCAATTTAATACGCTAGGGAGTTTATTAATATTATTATTATTATTATTATTATTATTATTAATGAATATATAATAAAACTGTTGTGATCGGTTCTTGTCATTTTATAAATATAATGGCTTGATGTAACCGTAAGTTCTATGTTAACAATTTCTTCAACTTGTTAAAAATTCTTTCTGCATCTTGCTTCTCGGTCAGCTTTGATAATCAACAATTTAAATGAAATGTCAAACGTTATTTTCTCTCTTCTTAACACTCTTCTTAACAATCAGTCTTTGTGCCTTAGTGGCTTTATTGCCTTTGATTGAGGAGAATTTAGGTGATAAATATTGCCAGCATCTGCACAAATCATAATTCTTTGAACAAACTTTCCTTTAATTCTTGTTACATTTGTTTGATTATTTTTATTTTATTTAAATGAGAGATAACGTTTCAAAACTTGTTTTGAAGAATTAATGTCGTGGTATCTATATATACCAAACTTGTTGCAGATTTCATTGCCTGCGGCTCTACTGTTATGGTAAAAGTCCTTACTGCTCAATGCTGCAGGCTTTCAGAGCAACTATATCTTCCTTAATTCAAAACCATGCCAATGCATCGAAATTGACAGAGGCTTAATGAAAAGATGCTTCTTGAAATTCTACATCCCTTACCTACTTGTTCATATACTTAGACGCCTTCTTTATCTTTATCACGTCTTTTGAGAGTTATGCCACTATTTCAAGAATTTAAAGAATGCAAATATTTGACGTAAACATATAAAGGAGAACATCGGTGTTATAGTAAAAGTATTTGCATAGTAGTGTTTCCACCGTTAATCATATTTATTATTATTCGACCGGGCTAGCTCGGATATTCATAAGTCTGTCACGCCAACTATCACTGTACTGCACCAAAGTAGGAAGGTCCTTCGCGGGATATTCCGTGTCATAACATAGCTGGTCAATATAGATGGTTCCTGGGAGACCACCCCGTCTTGCTCTATGTGTCCAGAGCAGTAGATCACTCAAGACTTCTTGTGTTGTTCACCAACTCTATCCTGCAAAGTGCATTCTGCGTTCACGTAAGATTGTAAAATTATCAGATCTTGGCCTACAGGAGATGTGATTTAGTCTGATGTTGTCTCCCATAGATGTTAATTATAGCTCTCGCCATCCGAGTGTACTTTCTGTAAATTTGAGACTGTTGAGTTTTAGCTAATGCTCAAACATTACTAGCAGATGCCGAGGAACCATTATCGAATAGAACGTACAATAATTTTGTCACTTTGCGTGAAAAGGCTACAACAGATGTTATACTTTTAAATGTAATCATCAGTACCACATTGCTTTTTAAATGAAATAGCATTGGATCACAACGGGTAAATAGGAAAGAAAAAAAACGCCATAAGAAATTCAAATCTATTCTTTAAATCTCTCCAAGACTTCAATTGAGGAACTTGCTCAGCTAAGAATTCTTATGCAGATTAACAAGATGAATACTTTCAAGAAAACTTCGACGGTTCAACTCTGCTACTGCTACCGTTAATATCACAATTTAGCATAAGAATTCAACTTCATTTACTAACTTTCTTTTCTTAGACATTAAATTATGTCACTTAGAATCTTACATAATTTACCTAGACTTTTCACTTAACCTAATGAATATTGATGAACGTTTCTTAAATTAAAAAAAAATAATAATAAAATACCAACATTCTTACATTCGCTTACAAAAACTTGTTGCAAAATAAAATCTTTACATTTGCCCTGCTAAAGTACATCAGGGGACGAAACCTTTCATCTAAGATTCCCTTTTTCGTTATTCCTATTTTCCTTTTACACACACACACACACACACACATATATATATATATATATATATAAATATCAAATGTTACGCACATATATATATATATATATATATATTACACATAATATATAAATATTACAACATGAAACAGACACACACACACACACACACACATATATATATATATATATATATATATATATATATATATATAGTTAAATTCCCAGATCAATTCTGTGGACAAGACGGATTGGTATAAAAATATTTTTTTTGCATTAACCAGAAAAAAAATAGAAGCGTCTATCTTTTAAATTTGGATTTTTTTTATGTAACTATAACAACAATGACATTTCGATTTCATTTTGCCTTGAGAAAGTCGGAAGACGAAACGCGTCGGCAAAATCTAAGTTTTTTTTTCCAATTGTCATTTTAAACTATATATATATATATATATATATATATATATATATATATATATATATTAATATTTTATTTAAAAAAAAATGTTTTTTTTTTTACACAGTTCTAACCGTGTTTCAAAAATGGAATCTAAGCTCGAATTTAACTTTGTAATTAAATTATATATAAGAACACCGGATTATATATCTTACTCTTCTTTCTTTTTATTTAGGAGCATAAGCTGAACATATAACATATCATTACGTTTATTACACTGCCTACTGCTCATGCGTGTTTACAGTTGGTACTATTGTGGTCGTGTGATCGAAATTTAAGATTTACCGACACAGTTTTCTTGCTGCTGTTACAGTTTAAACTGTGTGAACGAAGAAAGAACAAAGAGTAGTGACCACATTTCTCTGGTTGGAAGGTGTGCCAGGGGCTGAAATTCATTGGAAGCATTTAATGCAATACGCCGAGAGTAGAAGTGTGTATGAGAAGTTTAAAAGCGGTCGGGCAGGTTCAAGAAGCTCGAGTGTTGGTAATGTTAATCACGTAGTATGTTCTCTGTAGGTTCAGACTGAACACTGCTAACGGAGCGGCTATGCTGACACTGTAACAGCATAAAGAAAACGGAAGCGGATCTAAAAGTTAGTCCACATGACCACAATAGTACCATCTATAAGCCTGCATGACCAGAAAGCCATGTGATAAACTTAGATCGGTTATGGCGAATGTGCGAATCATTTTTTATTTACTCTTGTAGCTAAACCGGCCAGAGTTTACAGAATTTAGATGGTCACTAGAGGAGGATGTTATATGAACATAAGCGGAAAAAGTAAGAAGTGCAGTTTATAAGTATATCCAGGATAGATAACGATTATTCCGAGACTTCAAGAAGTTAACATTTAGAGATCGAGAAGGAATAGTGAAAGTCAGAACAGGTGTAACCAAAGAAAGGAACATGTCAGAAAATTGTCATGGAAATAGAAAATAGCAGGAGTAGTCAACAGGAAAATAATTCATCTGCTACACGGCCGCGTCGCTGCTTTTTAATGCTATCAAGACTGGAAAGTAAGGACGAGGCGTGTCCACTCTCTATATTATACGCCATAGCAGAATTTATTTAATTACTGTAGCGACACTAGAAAATGACGATTTATCCAGCATCTTCAGCGATTCACCATATGTATGGGTTCCTCTTGTGATGTGCAGTAAACATTGTGGGCAATCATAATTACTTAGTGGACAGCGCTACGAATGAAAAATAATTGTCAAAGATCGTAATAAACCTGTTAAAAAATTTACACTCAAGAAAGACACAATAAAATACGTTCCCGAAGTAACTTATAATATTTAATTAAAGTGTATTAGAGATGGATTGCTGCACAAATACACACACACACACATATATAGTGATTATCCAAGCGTAGTTTAGAGGGTCGAAAGTATGGGGCACCCAGTGAGGATCGATCTCACTACACAATCGTAATTGTTCTAGCGAGAAAATTTTGCTAACCATTACACCGCCTCGAGGTGCCTACACACACATACATACACACACACACACACACACATATATATATATATATATATATATATATATATATATAGGGTGAATTTTTTATTTGAATTTAGCGCATTGCGCGTTATGTTTCTGGTTTTGTCGATTGTACTGTATAGTATGTTGAGTTGGCCACCGTCTGTGAGAAAAAGAGCATCATGAAGCAATTCATTCCACCCGAAATTTGGAAACGGCACGCTGCAATGCTTGGCATTCGCACTGGACACAGAAATATGAACATTTCAGAATGTTTGGGTGTCAATTTGAGGACAGTGCAGAATATTGGGATAGAGCTGGATGAATCTAATGGTGATTACGAAGGTACAGTAGCTCGGAAAATTTTTATTCTGCTCGTTCTCATGAGAAAAGAACTCCTCCGGGATTTGTTGGTGCGGGCTTCAGATTAAGCACGGAAACCGACATGAAGTGCCTTGAGAAGGCAGTGCTGTCCTGTGTCAATAGGGTACCTGCAAAGAGACCCTGTGTCTGGCAAAACGACGGTGCATCATGGCACACAAGCAGGAGCACCGAGTCATAGCTGTCAGACAATGGCGACAGTATCTTTTAATATTTTAAAACATTTTTGTGTAATTTCGGTAAATATTGGTAAATTTGTTATTTTGGTAAATATTGGTGATATTTTTGGTAAATATTGATAAATTTGAAATTTTGGTAAATGTGTTATTTTCATTTTTGCGTAATTTAGACAGCAATTTCTCCATCGCACCATATATATATATATATATATATATATATATATATATATAAAGAAATATAGTCTTAAGGTGTGCTATATTTATGGAATAAAGTGCTCAATATCAGTGATAGAGCGTGTGTAAATATAAAAGTGAACATAGAAGTCAACACTTAGAGGTGACAGTCTGTTTCATGCTACATGCAATCGTATATATATATCGTAATTTTCCAAGCGTAGGTTACATGTGGCACAAGGCCAGAAGTATGGGGAAACCAGTGAGGATCAAACTCACTACTCAGTCGTAATTGTTCTAGCGAGACAAGCTTGCTAACATTACACC